CCCCTTTCTGTTAGGAGAGGAAACGAACGTCAGGATCACCAGTAGGGAGTGCCTATCTGCTGGATGATACAGAACTGGGTTAAAGTAACTGGAAAAGTTGCCAATAGCGCATAGCTGGAGAACCAGACTATGAATTAAAATCATATTTAAGAGGTTGTACTGATGATTTCCGCTCCTACTCGCCTGCATAGTTCGGTCTGCGTGTTTACAGCTAAGGGATGAAACACAGAGAGACTGCATCGTTAAATGTCTTCTTACGCATGCGACACTTAAGTCCACTCCCTCTATTCTACTATTTCATGCAAATTGGCAGAGACTGGGTGCACCGACTTAAAGAAAGATTGGAAAATCAATCCAATACCAAATCGCAACCAAATTAAGGGACAGAATTCCGCTGGTCAATAATGGCCTGTCCGGCTCGTTTTTTTCCCCGGTCTTGGCTCAATCTGTGAGGGGCTATCTGACTTTTGGCATCTTAGAAATATGATTCGACGAAGTCACATTATTCTCGAGATTTGTTTATTTTTTTTTTTTCGAAAATTTGAGTCGAAAAAAAGAGGATGCAAAAAAAAAGAACCTGTTTCAAGTCACCATCATAAATGCCAACATGTCCACTTTGGATGATAATATCCTCCATATATTCGCCCGGTTGATACCATGTTAATCGGTTCATCGTACCTTCTGAAACTTGTCTCCGTTACAGCAGAATGGTAACTGATAAGAACACATCGTCGCCGACAAAAAATTACACAGCAAAAAAGAGATGCATCTTACAAGTATCTGTAAACAAAAAAGAGTTTGATATTGCCAGACTAGAACACTCCGCTCTCAGATTTTGCTTCAGGAATCGATCAGAACTGAGCAAATTAATCTTCCCTGATGATTCAGAAATTAAACGTCTAGTCAGCAGTCAATTCTCATAAACGGCTCTTCCTAATAATTAAATGTAATGATTGTCCGTATCACGTTTTAACTCCCCTTCTTTCCTTCCTCTCTCACTTTATTTGCTCCTTCACTTACGTCTATTTCTTTCTTTTAACCGTCTTGCAAATCAGTTACATGACTATCCAAAACATGGTGGGTAGAAGGCTGTACTGATGATTCCCACTCCAACCCGTGTGCACTGTCGGGTCTGTGTGTATACAGCTAAGGGATGAAACACAGGACTGGGTCATAAAATTTCTTCAATACACATGACATTCAAGTGAAATCCTTCTATTCTTCTATTTCAGTAAGCACTGAGATCCGGAATTCCAGGTGCAGTTAGTTATATTTTTAAGCTTCCACAACACTTCTACAATTCAAATATTCACTAAGCACCGAGCCAAACAGCCAAACTAATAACAACAAAGTGTGAAAGAGACATCAATAATTCGGTAATAAAGTACTACGTAAATAAGCAAGACAAAAATGAGTTTAAGGGCCGTGAAAAGCAAGTTGACCACCAGATGATATACAGCACCACTGGCCAACAAAGTCCACCCAAACGATACACAGCGCTGGCCGAAAAAACGACCGGACTTCATGCAAAAAACCGGTAATCATGCACTTGGATGCGCGTGCAGCTCTATAATGCACCACCTTCATCCCAACTGACGCCCTTCCTCCTGCATGCCGGAAAGGGCCAAAG